GTGATGGCGTTAAGTTAGCCCGGGGTACGCGCTAGTGAGACGGGAAATTGAGCAAACGTGAGAACGTTCCTAGCCACACGTATTCGGGTACACCTTGAGCCCTCGTAACGGACGAGGCTACGCACACGAGAGGTGGTGGCGGTGAACGCGCGCTAGTGGCTTAGATTCTAAAGCTGCTGGGCTATCGACGCACACAAAAATCACGTGACCGAACCGACTCCCAACTAACTGCGAAGAGAAAGCAAAACTAGTGGGTCTCTGAGGCCTCTTTCACAACCAACAAAGGGCGAATCACAGCCAATATTACGGGTCAAGTTAATGAAACTAGCTACCGCGACAGGATGGTAGTTTGTAAAAGAATCTTGTCAACATATGCGCAGTTGTACCGCGTCTCAGAGTGGCTGAAATCTGCTTCGCTTCCGTACAACCATGAGGACCTATGGAACGAAGAATACTAGGAGGGAGAGAATTAGGACTTACCGGAAACCTTAATGCCCCAAACAGACATTCAGGGTCAAAGAGTCTATACCTTCTGTCAACAATATACTTTCACAAACAGCTGGCTATCGTGCAAAGATAAGGCGGCATCGGCGAGATAGCTTCCTTGCGGCTTTCACTGCCCTCCTTCATAATCAGCCAGTACCCAGCAGATAACTCCACCAAACACACCTTAGACAGGCAACCCGACTAAGAGACGGCTGCAGATACGCCACTGCTTCAGATTACGAGTCATGTCCTGTAAAGTCTCAAGTCAAGTACAGAGCAAGTCACGTAGACTCCAGCCTGGAAAGCGAAGCGGACTAACGGCACCGAGTTTGGTCGTCAGTGACTTCCTTTCTCATTGCCAAAATACCCTTACCAACCTCAGGTTTTGCGCCACCCTACATCTGACAAACAAGACGAGGCCCACCTTTGTAAGCGGTGACCAGGCATACGTAGTACGTGACACAGCCAACGCAACTTATTCAGTGCTATTTGTTGTTTTAACGAACTAGCATGATTACCACTGCTTAGTATTCGCCTGTGCACATCATCGTTGCGGACACGCTGGGGCCATCCGACACCAGCAATGTATCACAGATAACGATGATCAGACTTGAAATTGTCGCAGGTCCTCATATCGAAAGGGCCAAGTCTCACTCCCACAGAGGAAGACAGCCTTCACTGTTGCCTCGCAAACGCGGTCTTTCAAATAGGGGGAAACCTAAACATGTTCGACGATGGACCTCAGTGCTTTCCAGAGAGCCTCACCACCATTTTTAACTAGTGTGAGTTCAAGGGAATCCGGGCCAGCAGCACGAAAACGGCTAAGGGCTGCGATCGCCTTTCGGACCTCTGACTCCGACGGAGCCTCTAAACCAACCTTGTATTTCTCATCCTGCATCAGCTCAGTAGGAAAAGGTCCAGCATCAGGGAACCAACTGACCTGCTCTCTAAAGTGCTTAGGCCAACGAACTATACGGCGCTCCTTATTGTGTATCAGGTCACCCGCGCATTCTCCACATGTCTTACTGTTGCGACTCACGGGCTCCATTGAGATTGCGCTTCGCAGTCCATTCACCCAACGTGTATTTTGAACTGACCCTCCAATCAATCATCAACCGTTGTGCTAAGCGTTGCCCGTTGTGACTCGGTTGCTAAAGCAGTAGATGTCCCAACTAACATCCTAGTGGTCTCGGGTTCGAGTACTTGCCATCTCTGCCTGGTGAGATCAAGTCGGCTGGAAACCGGTCGTTGAGTGCAGTGTTTTCGGGTTGGCAACGCGCAATATTTATCTGCTTCGTCTGTCATGATCCCAGTGATGGAATTAACCAGGGTTCACTTCAGTGCGCGTCGCTTCAAAATCATTCATCCCATCCTCCTATATTCGTTACTCTAGGCCTCATTCTTTGAAACATTGATCTCTCAAACCCACGGTACGATTATATTACATACTTGGTTCCCACTTTGACGAAGTTCAACGATTCGTTATTGCTAGCACTGTATGTTTCCCGTTCGTCATTGTGTCAATATATATATATATATATATATATATATATATATATATATATATATATATATATATATATCCTTCGCAACGAATCCAGCTCTTCTCACACGCTTGCATCCTCTTAAAGTGTCCGATCTATTGTGTATGATGTATTCAACTTCATCACATATCTCCCCATTCTCTAACTTACTGTTCCAAAACACGTATTGTCCCAACTATGTAACGCGATTTTAAATCCGCTTGTGCCCAGTTGCTCATGCACCCCGATTTTTATCCTCCACTTCATTTCTTCTGTTCACATATCACTGTGGTGCTACCAGCCACTTAGTCGTTAAGCTGCCAGTTATGTGTGTATACTAATTGTCCTTCCGTTAAACAAGCACCGTTTACATTCCTACCCGTTGGTCCAGATGAATTGGTGCCGCCTCCGTTTGTTGAGTCGATCGCAAACAGACGCGCCTGGCTCACTTGTTTGGAGTTCTCCCACACCCACACTCTGGGAACCTCCAGTTTGGAGGAATACGATCAGCAGTACTCTTCCTCCGTCGGTTCCACGGTGGATGAAGAGGATGATCAATTGTGGTCACGCGTCAACGCTCGCCTTGTGCCATCACCGAGGCTCACAACTCTGATTCGGGGACAGGCACCCGATGTCCTCGCCCAAACGCTTCCGGGCCACCAGTTGGGAATCCCTCATTCTATACGACCGCATGTTTGGCCCCGATTGGCTGGATCTTGGGAGAAAGCTCAAAAGGCGAAGAAGCGAGATCCTCCAATCACCTATACGGAATTAGTTCAATTGAGCTCTTCCGAGAATCTGGCTATCAGCACACAAATTGAGAAGGTACGGATACTGTCTTTGTGTACTGAAGCTTCTTACTTAGCACCGGATTATTTTCTTATTCTAAATAGGAAAATCTGAAGTCATAAGTTATTAAATGACACGATCATTTCGTATATCAAAATAAGATCCTATGAGATCGACATATGTCAATGCGGTGGTCCGTTGATGCGCTTCGCCTTATCATGGTAGGATCATGGACACATTCAGTCATTTTTGCACATGGTGCAGTGGCCGCTCTCGATCGATGACAATAGCTCCCAGTAACCTGAGAAAGTGGGGCTTTGAATGACCAACTCATCTCACAACTTACACTTGCTTAACCTGTTTAGAATCATTAATGCACTTTCTCATTTTCTCTTACCACCTGATTATGCATTCACAGATCATTGAAGTCTTCGAAATCTAGTGAGCTCTAAGTTTAAAGTTCTGTTGTGGACGCTGGTAGAAGGCAACTCCAACTGCTACTACTCTAGCGTATTTGCGCACTCGGCATTAGTTGCAAAATCATCGTTGTGACGCGATCAGGATTGTTGCAGTTTGCTTCATGCAATAGCGGTTGTTAACCGTATAGGTTTTGCATCAACTGTTCCGTTCCTTGTCCTTAAACTGGATTGTTTTGTTTCGAAATATGGTTTTTTTTTAATTCACCTGTGATCCTCCTGGTTCATTGGCTGATATACGATGGATGTTCAAAAAGGGACTGGACTTTTGTTGTAACTTCTTTATTGCTCATCGCACAACATTTTAAGCACGTTCCCCTCAAAATAGTCCCCACTGTTGGCAACACACCGTTCCTAAGGGTGTTTCTATTTTTGGAAAGCCTCCTGAAACACACTTTCTGGGATGGCGCGCAGTTCACTTGTCACATTGTCCTGAATCTCCATGCCTTGGAAATGACCTTTTAACGTGGTTTTAAGTTTTGGAAACAGAAATAGTTTGCTGGGGCGAGGTCCGATGAATACCGTGGATGCGGTACAACGGGAGTATGATGTTTTGTCAGCTCGCTGTGGACAATGAGCGGTGTGTGGACCGGTGCATTGTCATGGTGCACCAGCCAAGTCTGGTTTTTCCACGATTCAGACCTCTCTGCGCACAGCAACCCTCAAACGCACTAGAATTTGCTGGCATGATGCTACGCTGATTCCCACTTCGTCAGCAACTTCTCGAACAGTTAAACAGCCAGTTCCACGAACCACAGCACGAACTCTCTCGACACAGTCATCATCTGTTGCTTTGGAACCTCGTCCAGGCCTAGCATCGTCACCGACCGACATTCTGTTGTGTTCAAAACATTTAGACCACTTATAGCGCTGTCTGCAGCTTATACAGTCCTCCCCTACGCAACTGAAATCTCTGTACACATTTTATCAAACTTGTGGCAAAATTTCACACACGCACGCGTTCTTTAAGCTCTTTCGGTGTCTCTTGGGCACTACTCCGACTAACAGCTTGTACACCTGCTCACTCCAGCGTTTGTAGCTCGCTAACAGTCAGAGCAAAACGCGGTAAATGGCAGTTTGTTGTCTAAACTGGCCTCCACATGTAATCGGTAGCGGCAGCGCGCGCTCTCTGCCGGTTGGCGCGCAATTTTAAGACCTCTATTTTTTTTATACACACCTCGTACGAAAGCCACGTGGATTGGATTCAATGCTACTACTGAAATCAACGATTTGGCCACTGAACCCAGAAGGCGTCAAGTGACTAAGCATTTTTCTTTTACCCATACCTCCAATGTGTCGACAATTGAGACTTGGCAACACACACATTATTGGAGACTTCAGTGGGTCGCACCTCAAAATTTGATCTCCCTTCAGTGGCGGGGTCAAGATATTCACACGTTTGGGGAAGATGCGTCTGATTGAACGCGAATGCCCACAATAGTCATACAAAGACTTAATAACTACGTACCACCGTGTCTATGATTTCTCTATTGCGACACAATAGCTGAGGTGTTTCCCATCTCTAGCTAACTTGTATAATGAATGAATTTATGATATTCAGTTGCTTAACTATGATCCGAGCGCTGGAATATGATGGAATTAGTTGTCACGAATCACATCGCAAGAATAACAATAAATACCAGTGGTTAGTAGAGTTAAAGGCAAATAAGATGTTAAGAAACTGGAACAAGGTGCGTTGGGCTAATCAGAATGGAGCGAAAATTAATAACCAGATGAAAGAAACCGAATGCAGAGACACCACTGTCTGCGTGACTGCACTATGTCTGTTGCGGTCTCCAACCATTGGTGTGGACAATCCCGAGGTCCCCATCCAGGAATACGACACGCACCAGCCTGACCAATTCTCTCAGTCAGTTTCTTCGTGCCACTATGCCACGTCATGGACTGGTCATCTCGCGGCTCCACCCCGTTTGGTACAGCCACGGCGTATACGTTATGCTGAGGAAGCCTGACAAGGGGCATACAGGGGGCATGGCCTAGCCATCGTAAGCGATTAAGATTCAGCAAACACTCGACTGAGGCACCAGAAGGCTTCTTGTCAAAAACCAAATGGCGGACATCAGCACTGCTCACCGGGTGTTCCCATTAGACGTGAGCAATATTCTGCAAGCACCAGTGGTCAAACACAACCAAGCGTTTAACGTCTTCACTGCGAACTGGCTAGATCTCTTATCTATACAATAAGATCGGCCTTACCGCAGCGTTATGCACTCTACCTTGCACTGACAGGCTGATGTCCCGCCTGAATGAATGCCAATCTTTTCTGACCAAGCCATCAGGGTCGTTATCACAACTGAACTCTAACCGTAAGTACGTATTTCAACTCGTAGCGAATAAGCAAGAAGACGCGTCAGTTTGGCGCACAGTGTACTGAACACTTAACGGTTTACATGAGAGCACGGAACGTTAGGGTGTGTCCTTGAGTGCGTGTATGCGTGCTTATCTACGTGTGTGTGTAGGGCCAATCAGGTTCACGGTCATAGTGAGCGATCATTGGTTGAACACGTAACAGTCCTCCCTGTTTTGGCTGACGTTACAGTCATGGCTGAAAACGTTCGATCGGTTTGCGAATCCGGGTCGATCGACGTAATTGAGTTTCCCCTGTTGTTCTGTGTTCGTCGTGCTCTGCAGCTTGCTCTGCGATCTCCGAGTGTGCTTGACTCACTGCAGGTATGTCAGTGCTCCTGGGGCGTACCTGATCTGAGTGCCGGCGAACAACCCGGCCGTCCGGAAGCTGCAAATCGTTTTGACTTCCTGAAGAATCGAGCACAGTCGCCGGCTGCCAACATTGTTCATGCGGTAACCTGGTGTAAACAGGTTGATGGTCATGAAATGTAACTTCCGGCTTTGATTCCTCTGAAGACACAAACTTTTTCTGACGCTCCTGTACTTCAACACGCAGGTTCGGGAACAACAAATGTAGCCTCGTTCTCAGACTTCTGCCGAACATCAATTCCGCCGGGGATTTCCCGGTAGCCTCAGTGGGTGTAGAACGGTAGGAGAATAGGAACCGATCCAGTTTTGTTCGCAATGTTCCCGCTCGCTGCTTTAGTAAGCCTTGTTTCACAGTTTGTACTGCACGTTCCGCTAATCCGTTTGATGCTGGGTGATACGGGGCTGATTTAACGTGTTGGATTCCGTTGTTGGCGACAAATTTACCAAATTCGGCACTGGTAAAAGGCGAACCATTGTCTGTACAAATGGTTTCCGGAATGCCAAACGTAGCGAAGGACGAGCGCATTTTAGTGATGGTGGATTCGGCTGTCGCCTGAGTAACTGGATGTGCGTCAATCCACTTAGAATGTGCATCAATAAGTAGAAGAAACATTGTCCCGTCGATCGGTCCGAAGTAGTCGGCGTGGACACGCTGCCAGGGCTTGTCGGGCCAACGCCAAGGGTGTATTGGACCTGGCGCCTTGCTCCGCTGATACGCCTGACAAATATCGCAATTCTTCAGTAAGTTCTCTATGTCTGAGTCGATGTTGGGCCACCAGCAGTACCCTCTCGCTAGTGCCTTCATCCTCGCCACACCTGGATGAGCATCATGGAGCTCTTTAAGTATCTGTGAACGCGCCTTGGTGGGCGGGACTAGACGAGAGCCCCAAAAAACACAGCCGTCGAATAGACTCAGTTCGTTCTTCCGAATCATAAACGGTTGTAATTCAACTGTCCCTTCAGGAGGCCAACCCATGTTCAAAAAGCGTTTCCCCATTGATAGCACGGGGTCACGATCCGTCCATTGACGGATTGTTGAACTCCGTATCGGTGTTGTGTCTAGATGTTGCATTAGATTGACCAGTTCAAACGGAGGGTCGTGTTCATGTGCAGTTTCCGTGATCGGCAGACGGCTGAGTGCATCAGCTGTGCAGTTGCTGACGCCGGTAATATAAACAATCTTGTAACTGTAAGCACTCAAGGTTATAGCCAATCTTTGCATCCTCGGTGATGCCATTTGTTGTATACCTTTGGTTTCCCCAAACAAGGATATCAATGGTTTGTGGTCTGTATGAAGCTCGAAAACGTTTCCCCATAAATACTGGTGAAACCTCTTAACTCCGAAGATAACGGCTAGCGCTTCCCTGTCCAGTTGTGAGTAGTTCTTCTCCGCCGTCTGTAAGGTGCGCGATGCATATGCTATGGGACGTAAAGAACCATCGTCCATGCGGTGGCACAGGACAGCCCCGACCCTCCAAGGGGACTCTTCGCACTGAAGTATGAGTGGCTTGTTAGAGTCATAATGGACTAACGTTGGTGGTGAAGCAAGAGCTTGTTTTGCTTTATTGAAGGCATTTTTTTGACGGGAACCCCAACACCACGATGCATTTTTGTGTAACAGCTCATTTAATGGCGATAGAACCGTCGATGCATTAGGCAGGAAACGGCGATAGTGAGATAGCATTCTTAAGAACGAACGGAGTTCATCACAACTCTTTGGCTCTGGGCTTTCTAAAATAGGTTTAACCTTGTCATTTAAAACATGTAAACCGTGTTTATCAAGCCGGTATCCAAGGTAACAAACGGAAGGTGAAAGGAACTCAC